GGGGCGCGAGCGGACGCGGAGGGGCGCCCGGCGCGCCGCCGGAGGCGGGGGCGGCCCTCCCGCCGCCCGGCCTTGGGGGAGGCAGCGGCCCCTGGCGGCCGGGAGGAGCGACCCCGGTCCCCCCCGCTCGCCCAGCGAACACCCGCACAATCTGCTTTTCAACGCCAATTTTTATGTAAAGTACGCAAAACCCTTGCCAACGAGCAACGGCAGCGCCCTGCCGGCCTTTTTTTAAGCACAGGAAGGAGGGAGGGGCTCGGCCGCAGGTGGGTCTTCGCCGCCGCCTGCCTTGGAAAGAGGGGAGCGACCGCCGGGCGAAACGCGGCGCGGTGAAGCACTCCGAGACATAAACGCGAGCGTTAATTAACAGCCTCGGGGCGTGACTTGCTGGGGTGCCGAACCAGCCGTGGCGCGGTACCTACGGCACCACGGGGCACCGGAGGCACCTTGTTCCTCGCGGTCCGGTGGCACGAAGGACCGGCAGGCGGTACCGACGCGGCGAGGAGGCCCAAGCTCAGCACCAGCCCCCTCGCTCCCCGGTCCTCCGGCCACCTCCTCCTCTTCACTTCCTCCGCCGGCTGTGGTTCTTCAGTTCCTCCAGCTCCTTCTCCATCAGGTGGGACTCGGCTGTGGTCTCGGAGAGCTGCAACACACAGCGAACAATGACAAGAGTGAGCTACGCCTCCAACCGCCGCCACCCCGCGCTACGGCGGCGGGGGGCGGCCCGCCGCCCCCCCGCGCTGCGGCGGCGGGGGCCGACGCCGGGCCCGCGACCTCGCAGCCCGCCGCGTACCTCGGGCACGGGCAGCGGGGTGCGAGAGCCCCGTGGAGGGACGAGAGGTTGCTCTCCCTCTGGAGGAGCACCTCGCGTCAAGGCGTTTGTGCCTCAGAAGCTTTCCTGATTTCACAGCGCAACCTTTCCAGAGACGTCGCCGAGATTTACAGCCACAGGCCGGCACCCGCGCGAGGGAATTTGTTCCCCTTCGGCGAGAGGGAAGCCGAGGTTTCCCACTTCACCGGGATCGCCTGGAAAACCTGGAGAGCAGCTGGGGCTTCCAGCCCCACAAGTGCTCCAGCCACAAAAGCCGCTCCACTTGCCAGTTTTGAAACACGGGAAGAGCATCAGGAAGGGAAATGATGAAGGAATAAGCGTTTGTTCGGACTGACATAAAGGCTAAACCACTTAATAGACTGAGAATGCACATGTATTCTATTTCACTGAAAATATCTCCAGATTTTAAGCATGTGATCTCTGGGTGAGGTTGAATTTCGGTTTATTTAGGGCTCGGGAATTCTTACATCCATGGGTTTACACATAGAATAGATGTCACTCACACCACTTGTCACAGCAGATGGAAGCTTCGATCTTCTGTGACCAGAAAGGGTGGCGATAACTCGGTTTCACAGTTAGGGAAGAGGCCAGAGGGGCAAGAAAATGGCGCACTCCACGCGGAAGGGGAAAGAGGAGACACGGCACTTGCAGGCGCTCCTCTCTAATCAGTCACAGTGTTTGCAAAAGTCAAGCTCTGCTGCAGGGGGAATGTCCCCCTCTTCTCACAGAGGAGATCAGACTTTACTCCCACAGTCACTTTACTGTTAAAGTTGTCCTGCATAGCATGGTAAAGCCGAAAGAGTGGGGCACGGTGAGAATGGCCTCCCGTGGTGGTCCCAGCACCCTTCGCTTGGGCATGTCCGCTGCTATGGGCAGGTGACAGTTCAGCAAAGACTCACCATGTCCAGCAGAATATCCACTTTCAGCCGAAGGAGGTTGTTTTCTTCCTCTAGCTGCTGGTTTCGTTTGCGCAAGCGCTGCATTTCCCTGCGATCCCCCGTGAAGCTTCCCGATTCTGGAAGGAAAGAAAGAGGTCAAAATACGGATAGTCAACCAACCGTGGCTACTTCAGATCGAAGCAAGCTGAGCCGCGCTCTACCTGCCACCCACTGGCCATTTTCAAACTTGAGGCTCTGGCCAGCGAGGTTCATGGTGGGGATGCCGTACTCCAGGCCCAGCTCAATCTCACGGGTCGATCTGTCCAGCTGCAGGGAGAAGATCACGCTCAGCATTTTACAGAAATCCAAAGCCACCCCCTGCTCTCCCATTTCTTGGCAACCGGCGTTCCAGTGGAAGCTGCTGGTCCGACCGGCCCTGGGGCCTGAAACCCTGCTTTTAGCCACACACTGCTGCAGTCGAGGAGCGGCTCCTCGCGTGAGGAGGAGCGCCTTCTCCCGCCCAAACGTACGCTCACCTCCCTGGGCTCAGCTCCCGTCGGTGAGAAGCTTTAGGTGAAACGGTTCTGGGCTGCGGGTGGGGTGGCGATGACCCTGCCCCGAGCTGTTCCACCTGGACCTTCCGATCCGGCCGCCGGTGATCCGCAAAGGTGCCGCACCGAGGAACGGGGCGCCGCTGGGAGCTGCCGTCCGGGGGCCCCCCGGCCCCGGCAGGGGCGTTCCCCCGGGGGCGCCCGCGCGGTCCAC